CTGGTCGACCAGCTTCACGTCGACCAGCGCAGTTGTCAGCCGACCACCCAAGTCGGCTACCCGAGGTCGGCGTCACCAAGTTGACGCCTCGCTACTCGACGCCCAACTGCTCGGCGTCCTGAGGCGAGGTCGACGTCGGCCCCTTCTTCGTCGACCACCAGGTCAGGTCGACCACCAGCAAGTCGACCAGTAGGTCTGGTCGACCAACCACGAGGTCGACCAGTAGTCATATCAGCCGACCACCCAAGTTGGCTGCCCCCAAGTTGGCGTCACCAAGTTGACGCCCTCTGCAGGTCGACTTCCCAGGTCGACCTCCCTGAAGTCGGCGCCACCCTGAATTTGGCGCCCGTGCAGTGGCCCCCGTGCAGGTCGACCTCCTCGTCAACCAGCTCGCCCACTGCTGCAGGTCGGCTGCTCCCCTCACACCCGACCACGAAGTCGGCTCCGCCCAAGCGCGGATGGGGCCAACACACAACTCCCGTTGACAGTACATGCTGCAGCCTGAAGTTTTTTTTTTTTTTTTTTTTTTTTTTTTTTTTGTATACATTGAGAGGTACATGTACACAGACAATAGCAGTCGTAACTGAGCGTGAGGGCAGGCGCCATGCACTGCCCAGACAGGTCGACTAGGGTGGCAGGAAACGTCTCCTTGGTTTGTTCCAAATAGCGTCGAAATTGGCCGACCATTTTTAACTCTTGTCCCCGGCTGCCCTGATCCTCGTCAACATCTTTTGCTCAGCTTCGAAAACACCCCTGACTCTCTTGCACTTCCCGGGCGTGCCTGGTTTCAGATACTTGGCCCCCATCGACCTCGTGTATACTCTTGCGTGTGGACGGAACGCTGCCCCAATCCTCCTGAGCACCCGCCTCGTTCTGAATTTCTGCTCACGAAACGTGGCATCGCACCGCTCCACCCACAGCTAATGGAAGGTAATGGCTGTGAGCGTGCCTTCAGGGAAATGCGACACTGTTTTCGGTCTCCTGGAATAAAAGGTCACCTAGCGAGCCATGTGTCCTTTTGGGGTTGAGCATGCGGAGGGCTTGGCGGAGTCCAGAGATCACGGGCTGGATGTTCGGGCAGGTGAACAGGCAGTGCTCATGCGTCTCCTCTCCCCCACAGTACGGGCACTTTGGTTTGCAGCTGAGGAAATCAACCCTCTCCCCAACCTGCAGGTTCAGGTTATGTATACGGGTGAGAACGTCACGTGGCCGGTTCGGGATGGCGAGCGAGTTACATGTACGGATGATTCACTGCCAGTCTATCTTGCCATTCTAGCGTCCAGCCCATTTGGCTTGCTTGATCAAGACCACGTCAGGTCTGGCCCATGCCTCCCTCATCTGCTTCAGTGACGCGAGTTTCCCATTCTCGAAAATTCTTGACCGAAAAACAGACACTGCAGCTTTTCTTCCCCCGTGAGACAGAGCAGGCGGAACGGCAGCTTCCCCGCTCCCACTTCCCTGTGCCGCTACTGGGACCATGAGGGCTTTCCACTCGGGCGAAACAGCTACCAGAGCCTTCAGAGCCAGCCGAGCTGAATCCTTCCCTCTCAGTTCCCTCTCTAGGGTCTCCACATCCTTAAACGCCGCTGCACCCGAGGGGGAGGTGGTTACCAGGTCTCCTATTTTTGTCTCCCAGAGGCCCTTCGCCTCCTTCTGTCCTCCGACTGGGTTGGTGCCATTTAGAAGTATGTTCCTGTTGAAAACAATCTGCTCCTGAGCTACTTCCTCCTTGGTGGTGGTTTTCCCGTCGTCGACCAGAAGCGATTTCAGAATAACCTCACACGTCTGCTTCCAGCGTTCGCCATCCCCGGACCAGTTATTCAGCAGCTTCTCATGCGATGTAAAAGTGTCGTCACCCAGAGGGAGACCCGCCGCTTTTAGCATAATTTCTTTTTTCTTCCCATTCTCCTCCAGCAGCAAACCTCCGATTCTCTAGGCGGCGAGGCACGCAAGAAGGATATCAGGGTCCAACAGCCTAAGCCCCCCGTCTCCTTTGGGCGTGGAGAGGAGATCCCCGCTCCAGAGGAAGAAAGTACCGTCAGCTGATGCGTTATTGCCCGACAGAAAGTTATGCATCAGCTTCAGGAGCTGCTTCCAGACGACCTCCGGTGGTGGGTAAATCTGTGCCAGGTAAGCAATCCTCGGTTTGATGTAGCAGTTGATGATCACCACTTTTGCCGCAATTTTAGCAGTTGAGAAAAAGTGCCTTCCATTTTATCAACTCCACCGTGATCTTTTCGAAGGCTTTTTTCTAGGTCGGCGCACTGCTCCCCAAGGGGGTTACCCACACGCCCAGGAACCGCTCCGCTTCATCCTCTCTCGCCCACTTAAAACCTCCAAATGTTCCTGGCCTCCGACCGAGATTGTGTCCAAGTGGCATGACAACTGATTTCTCCCTATTTGTCTCCAAGCCCGACAGCTGCGCGAAATATTTTTGGAGCTTTTCGGCTCTAGCAATCTGACGCTTCCCCTCCAGGAACAACGTGGTGTCGTCCTCGTAACCGAGGTACACTAGCCGCTGCCCTACTTTGTTACGGAGGCCGAGTTTCCGCCTGGTCGCTTCTGTTGTGTGATGCAATCATATGCATTCACGTCTGTCTGCCTCCCATCATGTGTTCGTGCGTTGCATGCGTGGTGTGAGCGTATGCAAGAATTTGTGTTTTGTGCGGTTTGGTTTTTCTGAGTGTGTGTAAATTTTATTTGGCTTGAGCAGATATCTGAAGTGACTCCTCTGCTCAAGAGCTTTCCATCGAACCAAGTATCGCTTCAATCGGAGCACGAACAAGAAAGTTACGAACGTTGGAAGTTCGTATGCTTTGATATTTAGTTGTGGTGACTATGGGAAGTTGTGGTGTTGACTCCATAGACTTTTGAGGGTTGGGAAATTCGTCAACATCACTGTAGATGCTGCCAAGTGGTTGGGAGGTGCCAAACCAGGTTGGCAAGTGTGGCCAAGTTGGACAAGGTGGATGGCATGGGTTGGAAAATGACAAAAGTAAAAGTGGGGTTCCTATAGGGAAGGGATTTGGTGTGCTAATGGGGTTTCCTTGGTTGGGGACTCCTTGGGGACCTTCCCTCTCGTCCTCCTCTTCCCCTCCCACCTGGTTAATTGCTACCCTAACTCTCTTGTGTGGTTAATTGTAAAATTGTGAGACAATTGTGATTGAGTTAAGATTCTATGACAGCTTACCCCCTAGTGCGCCGAAATTCATAACTCAAGAAATACGTCACCTTATCATACGATTCAAATTGGGAATTGTAGCCACGGACTAGGGCTACAACATATCTGAGTTTGGTGAAGTTTGACGGTGCACTTTTCGTCGACAGCATTACTTGTGAACTCGTCTTTTCTGTCCAGAAACTAGGCCCAGCGATTTTGAGATATTTAGGCCCCTAATCTTCGTAGACCTCGTCCTTAGTCTCTAACAGCTTCCTGTGCCAGGGGCTCCACCGCGCAGAGAAAAAGGTAAGGAGTGGGGGGGCATCCTTGCCTCACCCCCGACTTCACATCGACTTGCTTCGCCCAGCCAACCATTCACTAACAGCCTTGTCTTTGTGTTTCGGTGCAGGCCTTCCACCCAGCCCACGAACCTCTCCGGGAAGCCCATCTCCCTGAGAACCGTGAAGATGAAACTTCTCGACACGGAGTCGAAAGCTTTGCGGAAATCCACCAGCAATAAGTACCAGTCCTCGTTCCCCTTCTTGGCCGCTTCAATGACATCAGCTTCGACTCCAATCGCGTCCGAAATCCTCCTCCCAGGTATAAATCCGTATTGCTCTTCTGAGATCACCCAGTGCAGGAACAGTTTCATCCTGTCTGCAACCACGCGCGCGAGAATCTTGTAGGTGAAGTTTTACAAGGTAATCGGGCGGTAGTTGTCCAGCATGTCTTTATCTCCCTTCTTGTGAAGTAAGATTGTAACCGCTTCACTGATGCTGGCAGGAATCGAAGCCGTGCTTGCAAAGTTCTGCGCCATTCGAAGAAATTCTCCTCCCATGATGTCCCAGTTCCGCTCGAACAACTCCTTTGGAAGGCCATCCTTCCCCGGTGATTTATTGTTGGCGAGTTCTTTGAAGGCCTTTTTCACCTCCTGCTCCGACCAATCTGCTTCAAGCACCTCCGTCGTTGCCTTGTCCAACCTTTTCCCTGGCAGCGGCTTCCATTTCTCCGACGAAGTTCGGCCATCCGAACCAAACAGGTATGTGAAATATTTCGTCGCCGCCTTTAGAATCCCCTGAGAGTCTGAGACTATGGAATCGTCCACTGAAAGTTCTGAGATTTACGTTCTCTGCTTCCTGACCTTCACCCTTGCTGACAGGAATGGAGATGAAACTTTGCCTGCAAGCTCAACATTCGTCCTTGCCATCAAATGCAACCTGTCTCGTCTAGAAGCATGGTACTCCTGCAGCTGCGCTTCCTTAACCAGGAGAAAATCTCTTGTCCTCTAACAACCAGGGTTGCGCATCTGCTCCTGCTTCAGCTCCGCTACCGCGTCCGCCAGGTGAGCAGTGGTTCTCTTGATTCTCTTGCTCTCTTCCTTCATGTACAACCTCAGTCCGGCATTTAACCTTCCCAGCAACAGCTCGAAATCCTTCTCACCACTCTCAGATGCCTTGGTAAGAGCAGCCTCCACGGCTTTCCGAACATGGTTCAATCCAAACCGTTCAGACCCGTCAGAGTCGATTTGACACTTGGCCGCTGGCACGGGGGGAACAATGCCGCATGCAAACGACAAGGCAAATCATTCGCAGCAGCACAACGAAAAGAGTAATGTGGTGGCTGATGCATGAGAGGGTTGCCGTGTGGGATGCCAATGAAGCTCAAAGTCGACCTTCCAGCTGGACATTGCACACTCCGTACACCGCATCGTAACGCACCACGCCGCACCGCACCATGCACCAAGCTCTGAGTAGTCATAGGCGCAGTGCAGGCTGTAGAGCAGGCGGGCCTTCGCACGAAAAATGCCCTTACCATGGGCAGGCGTGTCAAACCTTGCAAGTCAATCTCGCAACTTACCCTCCTCGCATCTCGCTGACGCTGGCAAGTCGGCGGCAGAGAGCATCCTGAAAGCACAAGAAGCCATGGTGGCGGCAGGGAATATTACGAGGGAGCAGAAGAAGCGATGAGATCTGATACAAGCCGATATTCAGCTCCCCAAGCAACAGAATCGAATGAATTAAACTGATAAATCTGAACGGATTGAATTGAACCGTTGAGAAGGAAGATTCGAGGTGTGGGCTCACCACGTGGTGGGAACGTGAGTGATGTTCCACGGAGGGCGCAGGTACGTCATGTAGGGGCGTCCCGCGCAGCCCGGCGTGGAGTGGAAGGAGATGCTGCTGCACTTTCGGTCCGCGCGCTCGAAACCGTCCCACGCAATCTCCGCGCTGACTTTACTCCCATTCGCGAACACGCTGCGATCCACGTCGTCGCACACCGCGTTGTAGAAAATCAGGCTGGCGTTATCCGTTGTTCTCATTGGGCCTTTGAATGCGACCACGGAGTCGTACACGACAGAGGCGCTGGCTTCTGCGGAAGGGAGGAGAAAGACTGCGGCAATGAGGGCGGCAGCCGCGAGGATTGCGGCGAGGCCGGCTTGAAGCGCGGGACGAGACGCGCGGCGCGGCGCCATGGCGACGAGAGACGGGATTGGCGAGGGAAGCTGAGGCTGCGGCACGCTGCACCGATGTGACCACGTGTTGAAGTCCGCAGTAGGCTAGCCCGACGGTGGACTACGGAAGCGGCGGCGGGTTTCAGGATCCTGAATAAGTCTCGAGAAGGAGAGGAATTCGTGTGGAATGGCGCGTGCTACTTCTAGTTGTTTGAGTGTGAGAGAGCGAGAAGGAGAGGAATTCGTGTGGAATGGCGAGGTATGGTGAACACAGGGTAGGGGAGAAATATGTAAGGAGCTATCGCCGCCGCGATAGCTGAGGGAGGGACGAGAATGGGAGCGGGAAGGGAGCGTGAAGGAGGCACTGAGGGGAAGCCAATTCCGTCTTGAACTTGAAGAGCCACTTGGACGTAATTGCCTTACGCCCCTCCGGTAGCTCCACCAATTCCCACATGCCGTTCTCCTCAATACGCTTCAGCTCACTCTCCATTGCCTTCTTCCACTCATCAGCATCACTATTCTCCAAGGCCTCTTTGAGAGTTGCTGGTTCTCCCGGCATCTCCAACGGAGAGAAGAACGCGAAGGCACACTCCTCGTATTCACTTTCCGAGTCATCTCCAACCATAAGCGCCGCTCCGGCCAAGGCGGACTTGGCTGGCTTTCCCGGCGCATCATATGTCAGCCTATTAGGGGCTTGAATTCTCTTCCCCCTTCCTTCCTCCTCAGCTGTAGGGACACGAAGGCTCTCATGGCGTTGCTGCGGGGTGACTCGAATCCGTAGAGCATTCGTAGTGCGAGGTGGAAGTGTCGGTGCACGCTTGCTTGCTTGCTGCACCTCCTCCCCCTCTTCCTCTGCATTCTTGGCCTCCTCTCCTCCATTCAGAAGAGGCCTTGTGATATGCTGCTGCTGCTCACCTCCCCAAACCGCACATCTTTGCCTCATTCTATGCCTCCCAATCTTTGTACATGACTTTTTCCATGAACTTGCAGTCCCTGCTCGCCAAGAACTTCTTGGTGAATGGGTCTCAATGAAGCCATGCTCAAGTGCACAGCCCATATCGCCTTGGCACCAAGCTTGTTGTGCCGAAGATGCTTAGGCACAAGCGCCATGCACATGCATCCGAACACCTGAAGCATATCCACCTTCGGCTTCCTTCCAATCCAATTCACATAGGGCACCCATTGGTCTGCTCCTACATGAGTCAAAGCTCTGTTTTTAGCCACACACGCATTCCGCACCGCATTTAGCCAAAAGTAATCGGGTAGCCCGGCTTCAATGAGCAACCCGCGTGCCGTCTCTGTGATTGTCGTATTCGCTCGCTCGACGATGACGTTCATTGCAGGGGAGTATGGCATAGTAGGGAGTGCCTTATGCCATTTTTATTCAGCCACAATTATAACTCCTTTGTCAGGAACTCTCCCCTTTGGTCGGTGCGAATAAATTTCACAAGTCGGTCTTGATGCCGCTCTACCATCGGCAATCAATTGGTCTTCACCGTTTCAGCCACATCGCTCTTCTTGGATAGCACATAGACCCAAGTCATGCGGGTGTAGACGTTGACTATGGTGAGGAAATACTCTTCTTCAGGCGTCCAAGCTTCAAGGGACCCACCATGTCCATCACCACTTCATCAAGCGGTGCCTTAGCCATTGCCTCCGAGCTAGAGAAATGATATCGGGTGATCTTGGCTTGCATGCACGTCGGGCTGCCAAGTACCTCGGTGGGCTCCCTTTTCACACGTATGCCAGCAGCCATCCCATCCTTCACTAGCTGCTGCAAAATAAGAAATGCCACATGCCCCATTCGCCGATGCAAAGTCAGCGAATCACACTCCCCTGTAGCCGAAGTCGGATTGGAGAATGGTTGCACTCACAATTGTGCCCCATATGCTCTCTCCGTACTCCACCTCCGCTGTTGCCTTGGGGTTCTCCTCACCCTTTTGCTGCTCCTTGGCTGCTGCTCCACTCTCCTTATGCTCACACTGGTTGCTTGTCCCTCCAAAATTGCACTTCTTGGACTCATTCCCCTTGGCATCATTGTTGGCGCCGTCGCCGCTACCAACCGCTTCACCCTTGGTGCTAACGCTTGGTGCCAGTTGCCTCTCCTTAGGCATAGGGAGCACATGGACCTACCACATCTCGCTGTAGAAATCCCTATCCTCATGAATTTCCCAAAGAATCCGCTCGCCAAGCCTCGCGGTATAGGTCTTGGCTCCCTTCGAGCTCGTCTATCTATGCCTATCCCTGCCGGCCTTTTGCTACCGCCGCCCGGAAATCAGGTTGGCTGCAAGATTGGGCACCCAAAGCACATTCTTGAGGCCCACTATCTTCCCATCAACACCCTTGAACATGGACTTGCCCATGCCTTTCACCTCTGCTCGCTGCCCCACGTGCTTCACCTGCGACGGTTCAAGTTCGGTGAGCAAGTCCGCGCGATATGTCATGGTATAGGTAGTGCCGCTATCAATCACCCAATAGTCCAGAGAGTGTAAGGTGACCTTTCCACAGCAACTGGCTCCTCAAAGCCTTCCACATTCTCTGTTCCGGCCGATGCTTGCATCGAGACGAATGTTTTTTGCCTGGGAAGCGATCGTCGCGCGACTCGCTCTCGCGATATCCGCCTTTCATGTTTGCAGCTTCACCTCCGCGACCACCACCGCCTCCACGGCCTCTTCCTCTCCCTCCCCTTGCTCATCTAACCTCTTGGCCTTGAGCTGGGGTCCATCCATCAGGGAGATTGTAGCAATCGCGCCACATGTTTCCGCTCTTGCGGCAATAGTGACACTCGCCATCAAAACGACAACGTCTGCGTCCATAGCTCTTGTTGTTGTTGCCGGAACCGCCACTTCCGCAACCACTGTTGTAACTGCTGCTACCAAATCTGCCTCCTCCTTGCCCTCTGAGTGAGGACCATGACTCAGGAAGCAAGGCTAGCAGGTTGGTCTTCTTCTGGAGCTCACAATAGTTCAAATTAGCTCCTTCAAGTCGTGTCAACAAGTCGAAGAATTTATGCACCCCTTCTTCAACCGCTTCATCTTCTTCGATGAAGTGTTGCCATTTGCCACTCCAATACCACTGCTACAGCGGCTGTTGCAGGGGCGTGTATACCCTTGAGAGCAGCCCATGCCTTTGGTCCCTTCTCTGGTTCACGCTGGAATGGCTTGATGTGACTAATTTGGCTGCTCCTCAACGCTTGCCCAAGTAGGAGATAGCCTTTTGCGCTCTTCCGCACCCACGTGCTCAACTCCGGACGCTTCTCCGTGTTAAACTTATGTTTATGATATAAACTGTTTGCTGTAGTTACTGTAGTGTTTGTGTTATTTCCTGTAGGTGGTGCACCTCCCTTGTTTCCCATATGTATCTTCTCTCCATATTGAATCCCACTCTTTGGCCAATCCCTCTCTCATCCTACTCTCGATACTCCTAGCCATGGCTCCTCCCAAATTCAACTCACCCTTCCTTGGCTAGCTCGTTCTCGACACTCCGTTCCTTCCATCACCTCCAGCAGGTCGTAGTTGTCAAATATTTTCTCCATCTTGAAGGACCACTCTGCGAAGTTGTCACCGGTGAACTTGTCAAGGCCAAACACTCTAGGATCATCCCTAGATGGGCCAAGAATGGTTGCACGGGAGCTATGGGCGAATCACAGGGTTGGCCTTGATCTTGTGCTTCTCCACTGCCACCAGCACATCTGCCATCTCTTTCCTCAGATCCAGCCATTGTTGAAAATTCTCTACGGTACTCTGATACCACTTGTTATAGTAACAATAGGGTCAAACGTGCCTAAATCGAAATATAGAGTGCACAGTCAAAACATCTGGAGCGTCCTAACATCTCCTACAACATACAATTTACATTGCACGATTTCATCAGTTATTGACGACGTAAATTGAGTTTGAAGGAATGGCACTATGTCGGCCACTTTAGTCTTAGAACACAAATTAGGAAGAGTTAGGAGTCGGGAATGACTCCCAGCCTCTACAAACCCCAAGAGCCGAGTTCTAGTGAGCTGGAACAGTGCAAAACAGTCCCCAACCTCGAAAGTTGTGGAAACCACCCACCACAAGGGTCTACACCAAGAACTATGCTACACTACACAATGCAATGTAACGATTCTCAATATATTGGTGTTTACCGTTGTTGGCGAGCTCTTAAATCTCTTGACTCTTGAGAACAAGGCTCTGGGTCTTCATCATTGATTCCTCCTTGGGTTCTTCAAGCCTTTCTGCACACACCTGCGACACACTGAACGATCAACACACGACAAAATATAAAAACGCATACGACACGCAAGCGACAACGTGACATGCGACTAGCAATAACTCGCTATTGACTCGACACACACATTCGACGTCATGACTCATCATTCACACACTATTATAAGCATG